TTCTTTTAATTAATAAAAAATTCCAGATCTCAAATCTTTTTTAATATTGTATAAAATAGGCTTAATAATAAGCATAGAATAAAGAATAGAATAACTCTTCCTTATTCTATACCTTATTCCAGTTATACTACTTAAGCTTCTCAATTTTTTTTTAACGATTAGATGAGATGAAACGATTAGTATGATAAATATGTTATTAAATAGATTGAATAAGACAAGCTTTATAATACCCATTGTGTTATAGTTACTAGCAACAGGAATAGACAGTCATCTATTAGATCTATTGTGCTTCTAAATATGTATACATATATTACATATCATTAAAGTACGTCGTTTAAATTGCAGTTTTCATTACTTTACATAGTAGTCATCAATAGAGAATGGCATTTAGACCCAGATTTAGACATTTTTGATTCCACAACATCTCCACTTAAGACATTGGCAAAATAATTTATACTTCAGCTGAAGAAAACTGATCAATTAATAAAGTTCCACGTGTAAAAACTACCGTCAGAAAGTCTATGGGTTCTGACAATATATGTAACACTAAAGAACAATAAAAAACTAAAAGTCCGTCCATTTGGTTACACAACAAAACCATTTTGAAGAGGATAAAAAAAAATATATTTAATATAAACACAATATATATTATTGTTAACTTCGTATTTATTTTAAACTTAAAAGTTAATAACAACTTTTAATATTAGGATTTCAGTCTTAATTGATGTGAATGATAAATGATAAGAACAAAAAGTAAAATAAAGTAAAATTACTTGTCAATCTCTATCGATATTATTACACAAATTCCAAATTTTGTAATAAAATTGAAGATACGAAATTTGATAAGATAAAATTATAAGAAACCAGCAAGACAAACAAACGATTTAAGTGAAGTTATTATTATTAGTCAACAAAATCAGCTGTTGTAATAGTTTCATAACACAATCATCAAATATATGACATCAATAGGTGATAAGCATTTGATAGAAAAGTAAACAATAATAATAATAATTAAATACGTTTTAGGGAGTCATTACGTATTTAGAAATTCTGAACATTTTGCACAATTATGAAAGTATCTAGAATGGTGACGAAATCTATAATAGCTAAGTGCAAATCAAATGCATTTATTACGCAGAATTATTTAAAAATAATAGAAACCCTGAACAAAACAAGCAGTAAAATGGTAATATCTAGTACATTTACCTGTTATTGGTTTTCATATAAAAATTTTCAATTTAAAAACTCAACGATATTGACATATAGCGTATTAGAAAACATTGTTTAAAATGTCTGTTTTTAGAAAAATCCATGGCCGGATCTGTGAATTCGAAATCGTGTCAGTGAGTGTAACAAATCTAAAATGAATGAAATGAATACATATAAAAATGAATCATCAAGCCCCTAATAATAGAAGCTACTCCCTAAAGAGCTCTAATATGCATCTTCATTCAGCCATGTAGTTCAATAAAGATTACAATCAATTCCTTTTAAATACGACCTACTACAGCACCATAATGTTTATAAGTAGACATCGTCCTTATGATTTCACGACTCCCATAGTCCAAAAAGATGAGTAATATAGTGGGAGCCATATCTAAATTAAAGTCATCAACGCAACTAATTCAACAGACCGGGTAATAAGTTAATTAATAAAGACAATGAAATCAGTATAGAAATATATAACCTTTAGTTATATGATAAATATTTTAAAATGTATCTAATAAAGTGTTTTATTTGTATCTCAGTTGAGATACTTAGTTGGCTAAATTGTTATGTACTTAGTTTGCAATTAACTAATTAAATTTTTTATATTAGTTTTATAATTAAAAATAAATTATCATTCACAGTAATGACTATTTACACAATTAACTATCCAGTTTATTTATGTAAATATAATTATAATTACAGAAAATAAATTATTTGTACATTCTTGCAAAAGTATTAGAGCGACATCTAGCGAGCAATAGCGCACAATTAGTTTCAGTTGGTGACTCGATGTATATTCACCATATACAAACTGTTAAGACCGTACAATATTATATATTAGACACAAACCACATTGTATGCACGGTTTTTCACCATACTAAATATATATATCGTAAAATCTAGATAATCGTTTAACGGGTTCTATTCATCTCCCATCTCTATAAGAAAATGGAAAATAGCAGTTAACAATAAAGAAATTTAAAGTAAATAGTTCAAATAAAATTTATTATGAACATTTCTAATTTATATGTGAGCAATAACAACTAATAGCAGTCTATAAAGAATATATCTGAGCACTATACAACTAGTGCTAGATTAAGTATAGAGGAGAACTATAATTCTGTCGATGTCAGTGTAGGGCCTGCCATGTTACTAACAGATATTAGAGACAACCAGCTCGTAACGCACTGGCTAGTGGTGATAAATCAATATTGTTGTTGTATATCTATCGGTCCATCATCCTTGCGATAAGTAAACCTGTAAACATAGTCGTTGATGTAAATGAGTGGTGTCGGGATATAAGCCCATCAGCTAGTAGTACTTTAATATACATACCAATCAAAATTCAAACCGTGCCAATATAGGCTTTAACAAAAGGGTAAAAGGGAGACCATTTTGTTCAAGAATATTCAACGCTTTAATAATGAGATAAATGTAGAAACCGGACAATTATCTACATATATATTTGACATTAAAGACAACAAGAACAAGCTTATAAGACATCAGCGAAGAGTTGTTTCTGCAACATAACCCAGGAACAAATGAAACGCATAGTAAATAGGAATAAAAAGAAGCATAATAGAAGAAATCGGTTGCGTTCAGTAAAAGAAGATCAACTTATTGCTTTAGAAGTACATATAATGAAACCGTGGATAAGTAGAAAGTAAAGTGAATGATGAGAAACGAAATAGAAAACTTGTAATTGGTATAAGAACAATCCAAGAAAATATGTGAGGAAATAATACGTTTCTACTAATAAAAGAAATACCTCAACAGTCGTACCGCTAAATATTAAAGTATTGTAGTAGATATTTTTAAAAATTAGTGAATTGTGTATGCAGAGTAACATAGACTATATCTTTGAGATTTTCATATATTTCTACAAACCACAAAATATATATACGATTATTAAAATTTTTAAGAGAAAAAAAAGGTTCTTTGTATAAAAATTCTTTAGCAAAGTTCGTAGGTGAAATTTATTTATAAAATTTGAAAGTAATTTGAACTCTCAATTGGTGGGGAATACTGCGACCATAGCCAATTTTGTGCTACAACTTACCTAAATGAATGTCAGAGTATTTAATATAGAAAAGTCGTACAAGGATTCATCCCAGTATTCCTCTTCTCACTCATATCAAACCCATACAATTATAATATAATAGATTGCTGAGATTGCTGTTAAGATACCTAATAGATAATTTTAAACTGCACTATCAACTCGATTTGATCTAATAGAATGTGGAAAGTTATTCCTTTCAAGTCTCATTCCTTTCAAGACAGTGACCGACCACATTCTATTAGATCAAATGGATTTGTTAAGTTGATAGCGCAGTTTAAAATGATCTATCAGGTAATCTAACAGCAATCTCAGCAATCTATTACATCAAATAGATTTATTAAGTTGATAGTGCAGTTTAATATAATTTTTTAGGTAACCTGATAGTAACCTTAGCTATGTTCTGCTGTAAAAGGACGTCTTTTTGTATCCATATTAAGTTCAGATAAGTTCATATAGCAATTTTACTTAAATTTACTAGAACATTAACGAGTACATGCAATAAAATTTTGGTGCAATATAACTAGTGCAAATACTAAGTATAAATCGTAGTTTCTATTTTATTAATAGTTGTTTTTTATTGATTAACTAAATACTATTCACAAAATAAAATGTAGTAAGTAGAAGAATATAGTATCGATATCTACTTTCGAATGAAATTCTTTGATAAGATTAGAGCTATGTTTTATTTTACATCAGAAATGGAGCAACCCTATGTTAGAAGAGTAATGTAGTGAATCTAGTTACTGTATTTACACTAGATCAAATATAAATAGAGATATATAAATCTCAAATAGGGATTAATAGAACAAAGAGTCAACATCCAACTAAAAGTTTTTTTCATATCATTAATTATTTAAAGTTGATTATTTTTGCTGAAATCTACGCTTCCTATGACGACAAAGAAGCTATTTTTTTAAAGTTGGAAGGGTTTGAATAGAAAAGAAGAAACGGGAACAAATATTTAGTTAATTTATTAAAATTTGGCGGACCGTACAACGCTGTTTCGAGTATTGCCAAGTTTTCATCATCAGTGGTGTTAGGAAATATTCGAATTTCTTTGTGTTAATTAATTATTATCAGAAAACAAATTATTGTTTTTAATATTATTAGGATCATTACAGTGATCTCCATTTTTGCGATTTGTACGCTAAGCACGTTATGCCGGGCACATATACCATGCCTTAACTGTTTGTCGGCATTTTCACGTGATCTGAATAAACTGCTGCCAATTTTCGGATCAAAAGAAAAAATTGGTCAAATCTATATATATTTTATAGTATTATATTATAGTTATAGTTTGAAATACTCATTTTAGTATTGCTAGATATAAGGGTACCAACATCAGCTAGTGACAAATAACCGTCGATATTTCTCCGTTAGTAATTATTTATATATAAAATAAATAATTATTCGCATTATAAATATCTACGAATTCTGCTATTACTTAAATAGCATTATAAAAATAGTTTAAGTACTTTCAGTGATATATATATGTTATATTCCACAGAAAGTAGAAAGATTAGCTAATGCAAAATATCATTATAGAATGACATTAAGACAGATTTGAAATTTATGATATATTTTGCGATATTTAAAGAAAAATTTTCATTTTTTCATCGTAATAATGTTATTTATTGCAACCAAAATGTGAACGGTCTTTGGCTCATAACAAATATTTCAGAGTCTATTTTGTTTTGAGGTTTTGAGTTTTAAAAATAAATATTTGACTCACCGCTTTCGCTTTCGCCTCATTAGTTGCTGAGTTCGAGCGGTGCCTGAAGAGATCCATAACTTTTGTCATAGGCGAGCGGTTAGCATCTACACGTCGAACAGCTGTCACCGTGTGATAATACTGTAAAAAGAAAATTAAAAATTAAAAATAATTACACAGAACATATGTGAATGATGAATGACGAATGAGAAATCAATCAACTGGGCATCGCATCATACTCTAAGCAATTAACTCTCTCATATTAATAAACTTTAATTTATTTTACTATAAAAACCTTATGTGATTTCAAACGATAATGTAGCGAATGGTTAAAAAAACATAAAATATATTACTTTCATCTCTTTTGTTTATACAAAAGACATGAAAGTCTGTTTTTTTGGTACGTGCTCGATACGGATTTCATGTTACCGCCCTGACGTTTGAGATTGCCGTTGTTGACAGTCTTATCAGCAACAAAATAATTGGAACAGCATGTTTCTCTGCTGTCGCCGTTTTCTTAACGTTTATTTTGCAAATAATTACGCAAAATAAAATATTTCAAGTACAACACGAATACCAGTAATCAAACTTGCAAATTAATTCAAATATAATTTACTTGTCAAATCAGATTGAATGTAAATTTAAAATAAATTTAGTAAATAATTCCTTTTTTTTTACTTTTAATACTCTCGCTACTTACTTGTGCATCACTGCCCTGATGTGGATGCGCTGAACCGTCTTTGTACTTATTCTTTACAGAGTTGCCTTCTGCTGTTGTTATCGTTACAGCAGGATGTTGCCGGTGATGGCCACCACCTATTAATCCTGAATTTTGCATTGCTACTTTCATAGAGTTCATTATGCCGCCGCCCGTGCCGGAGTGTGTACTGCTAGCACTACTACTTTCACGATCTTTAGCACTCATTCCTGATCCAACACCTGCCATTGCCGCTGACCCGGGCTCAAGTAACATTTTCTCTTTACGTTTTGCATCAGATTTAACGCGCGGTCGAAACACATCGAATATGGTTGGCCGTCGATTGGGACTAGCTATACCATGCACAGTTGATTGATTTAGCACGGGTGAGTCCTCACCGCTACGACGACGTTCTAACGAACCTGAACGTGGTGCAACCCGTTCTGTACTGCGTGACATCTTTTCAGAATTGCGATTAAGTTTTTCTAGTTTTGCTGCTTCACGTTCCAGTCGGCGCTGTGTTTCACGTTCCATTTTTCGAGCCTCCTTTTCACGGCGATTAAATTCTTTCTCCTGTCGCCTGTAAAACAAGAATCTATTAATAAAAGTATACAAAAGTCCGGATTATTAAAAAAATTAAATTAACTATAAATAAAAGTTGTCAACTGGAACTAGGTTATAATAATAGGTATTTTGCGGTTTCATAAATATGTAAGCTAATAACAAAATTAAATAGACTTAAAAAAGAATTTTTTTCACATAGAATTAGAGTTACACAGCATTTCGTAGAATATGTTTGTATACTATATTTATACATATATATATATATATATATATATATATATCCCGATTCGATATCCCGATTCTTCGGTAACGATGATTTGACAATGGATTTTAAAAGAGTCAACAACTTTATTTACTTCGCTATTTTCTATTTGCAGTGATATTGTTTACTTCTAGAGATATCATAGTTTAACGTTTTAAATTTTCAATATGGATTGCATTAAGCTGACAGATGGCGAATCTATTCGTTGGTTGTTTTCAAATAAAAATATCCAATTTCAAAGCCCGGTATCTCAAGTTTAATTATTTAAATATATAGCACAAAGGCAAAAGTGGTCTAATAAGGTGTTTTTATTACAATGAACTTTCAGGGTGTAGAACCTACCAGTTCAGTTCCTTATTCTTAGTTAACTATAAAATTCATATAAATGTTAACTTACAAACAAATAAATATTGCAATGGACTTGCGTTGAAAATAAAAATCGTGACATTTTTAGTATTTACGGAAACTTCTTGAGATTTTTTGAAATTATTTTCAAACTGTTTGACCCATTATACAATTGTCAAGCTTAGATATGACCCATACAATGGTCAAGCTTAGATATCTCTCTTTAGGCACTGCCAATATCTTTTTCAAAAATTAATGACACATCAGAGTAAGTTCGTAATTTGTTAAAAAATTACATAAAATTATTTTGCTCAATAAAAGGTTATGGAACTATTTCCAATAACATTATACGATGAAAACGTTCAATTTTAATTAATTTTTAAACGTCAAATAATTAGTTGAAAGGGAAGAATTTATTACCACAGATCAGGTAATTAACAAAGCAGTGGCTTATTTTGAAGAGGAGTCAAATTATAGTTTTCGGATTACTTGAAGAAGTTGGAGAATAGTTCAATCAAATGTATTGAGTTAGAAGGAGACTATATTAAGAAAAAAATAACGTTTAATCCTTCAAAAATTATGTGCTTTACTATTACTATTTACTTATTGATTTTTTTTAACGGCTTATTGACTTCTCTAGCAATTTATTGGCTTTCTTTCGTATGTAGAATGATATATCATTCCACGAAAAGAAACTATTTAAAAGTTAGAAGGGTTCGAATAGATATGAAAGACAATAACAAAAAATTTATTTTAATAAACTAAAATAAATATAATAAATTCAATAAATTAACTAAAATTTTTGTTGTATTCTTACATCTCTAAACGAACCCTTCTAACTTTGAAATTGTTATATGTTCGTATATATTATCAACACATTAATTCATAGAAATAACAACAGTCACTAAATAATATTAGAGAACCTTGATGTGCATAATATTTTTTCATCTTGTACCATATAACTATAGTACTATATAACTAAAATTATGTTTTTTCGCACAGTACCATATAAGCGTAAAAAATATATATGTATGTTTTAAACAAATGACTTACCTAGCTTCTTTTTCCATTTTCTTTGAGGCCTTCTTTGCTGCTTTGGCATTAGGTTCAGTAGGTGCACTGGAAGGTCTGGACCCAGGTAGTCTTCCATCGTGTTCCTGAAAATGAACATGACGTTCATTAGTTGCTAATATAATTATTGTATTTAAACGAGTAGTTCTTTTCATTTTTTAATCTTATATTATATAGTATTTAACGGTTAAGAAGAGCATAAAATAATCGACAACAACCGCATCCTAAAACTTTCCACAAAAAACTGAAATACGATTTGGATTATGTCGTTTTTGATTAAGGTCAGTTTTGTCATTGTTAATAGAAGTATTCTGCTATCTATTAGCTATCTCATTGCTAAGAAGCATCAAACCAATTATGATTAATTTTATTAAATAAAATTTCACTAACATTTCTATTTAATCTGTAATCAACGGCGGTGATGGCGGTGATGGCGGCGATGGCGATGACAGTGATGCATTTGCACAGTCAACTTACGTCAGTTGGCATTAATTAACTTTTCTAAGTGGACATGGGGACAATAATACCAAAAATAAAGGATGAAGGAAGAAAAAATTTGAGAATATGATGCGAAACGCGCAGACAGACTTACGCAATTGTCGTTGAGACATGATTTTGTAGAACATTTTATTGGCTTGAATTAAAAGTAAGTTAATACGAGTATTCTATATAGGTATATCTTATAATTTATTGGTAAATTGTGTAAAGTAAGTTGTTGTAATTTGTGTAAAGAATTTAATTAAAATATATTCTTAAAAAAAAACACTTTTCTATTTTAATTTTCATTAAACAATTTATGCAAGTGTAAATCTAAAACACAGAAAGAAATAGTTACGTCATCTCTTTAAAAATAAGAAATGTTTTTTAATTTTTTTTTTGTTTCAAATCTACAGGTCTGAAGAGTTGAAGAAACAACACGGTCACGTGTGGTAAAAATTTACTTAATTTAGCTGAACGAAATGAATTCGAGAAAAATACAAGCAAATAAAAGGCATAAAACTCAAAAGAAATGCTTTAATAAATTATAAAAAAAATAAAAAAAAAATTATTAATTATAGCAAAACAAAAAACAATATATAAAATAATATATAAAAGAATATATAAAAAAAAAAATTAAATGCCAATAAATAAAAATGTTAAGCAATAAAACAATGAAATTGAGAAAAAGTTTAAAATGTGTGGTCCGTAGCCTGGTACTTTATTGCGGACTGTTTAAGAGAATCAGATAAAAGATAGAAGTCGAATCGAATAAGAAAGAGCCCTTTGTATTACAAAAATAAATTAAAAACAAAAATTATAGGTCGGATTTAATATACTCTGTTGATTATATATAAATATAGTTTTCTGTTTTTATATTTTTTTGTTTAGAATAAAAATTCGGCTGCGAAGTAAACAAAAAGATACTTTCCTTGCACACTTCACTCCATCAGAAACGATAAAATTCGCTTGTTTACGCTTTCAAATAAAATTTTAACTCTTCTAAGTAAATTTTCCTCGCCTATTATTTCCGAAAATATTAAAATAAAATAGAATTCCATGTTGTTTATGAAGTGGGGTTTTCTGCGCATATAAATCAATAAAATATTTATTTAGTTAAGCACAGTTCTTATGAAGAATTGGTAAAAATTAAATAAAAGATAACATTTCAATTGAGAATTCTTTAGCAATTATTGGCATAAAAGCTTTTTTCTGGCTCATATACTTGGATATTTGCCAAAGTTTTTAAAGTAGCTAAGAACTTAAAATAAAACCAAAATAAAAATATAAATTAAATTAAATTAAATTTGAAAAAAAAAATATAAATAAAAATAAACAAGAAAATAGGTTCGCTGAACGCAAGCTATTTTTTTTTTTATATTTTATTATTTGTTTGCGCAATTAGCCCCAGAAATACTTATTGAAATGAAATTGCTCAAAACACAAAACAAAAATTTCTATTATTATACTGTTATTGGTGGTGTTGTAGTCCATCGTGAGACCCAAGCCATCAGTAATTGAAACACACATACAGAAAGTCAATGGTATGGCATCAGGAAAATTGGCTGAAGTTTGGAATAGTGAAGAATAAGACAAAGACATTAACTGTACCGAAAGATAGTAGGTCACCATGAGGTGGCATACTGTCACCATGGTATGATATAGTATGTCATCATAGTATGATTAGAACTAAATTTTTTTAATTCCTAGGTCTAACTCTTATTATGGTAAAACATACACTTGCTTAGAGAATTTAAGGATCAAGAAGGTGACTTGTAATATAACTCTTAATGCTCTAAACCCATTAACACAAGAAAAGTTGAGTATCTAAAATAATATTCTTCTTTATAAGCAAATAATTAGACCTAAACTACTCTAAGGCTGTGTTACTTATGGCAATACTGCTTCACCCACCATTAGACAGCCCCAAACTTATCAGAATATTGTACTGAGACGTATGCTAAAAGGTCAATCGTTAGGGTCGGAAGGCGACCTAATATGTGCCTCCACTCGGAAGCATGTATTGTCCATTGTGATATCCGATAAGTTTGCTTTCGTTATTTCTTCCAAGCCTGTGAAAAAGCGATCCCCGAGATATTGAAGTCGTCTTGTCTGAAGTCCTGGACAGAGACAGAGGAAGTGGTTGATAGATTCTACCTCCTCTTCATCTTGTCAACTCCTGCATAATCCGCTTGCTGGAACTCGCCACCGTTGAAGCATAGGTGCAATGACACAGTGCCCCGTTAGTACTCCAGCAAGCACACGAACTGTAGGTTTGCTGAAGCCTTTTCGTTTTATTTTTGTCCAACCTAGGCCATAAAGTTCTAGCGACCTCACAGTTGCGGTTAGTCCATAAATTGTTTGTCTCCGTGTTGGTGATTTCCTCTATTATCCTAAACAGTTCACACATTGGTGTATGTATTGTGAGGTCGACATCTCCTGTATGCAGTTTTGAACCTCTTCTGACCATCTCATCTGCTAGTTCATTCCCTTCAATATTGCTATGTCCAGGAACCCAGCAAAGAGAGACATTGTGATGTTGAATGCTCATCAGTGAGGTGCGACATTTTAATGCAATCTTGGATTTAACTGTTTTAAATTCAATTGCTTTAAGCGCGGCTTGACTATCTACAAAAATCGCGATATTCGAGAGACGAATTGTACTTTGTTATATAAGGTTGTCCGCTTTTTCAATAGCATAAATCTCCTAAAAACACGCTGCAAATTGTTCAAAAGACTTTTGACTTTTAACGATGTTTGTCAGTTTTGTGAATTTAGTATATATAAATATATAAAAGTATATAGGGCGATTCTGACAAACATCGTTAAAAGTCTTGCGAAAAACTTTCGAAAGATCGAACGAAAGACTATGGTATATATATATATATAAAATAATTATACGGTTATTATTATTTTATTTTTTGCACTGTGTTAGAAATATTTCGGTGACTTTAACACATTCTTTTCACAGTATCTGTGTGATGAATATAAGAATTGACATTGTTGGAACAAAATTCAAAGAGATTATTTATTTTGTGATTGTCATGTTATGTAAAATGAAATCTTCACAGAATCTTGCCGACAATTCTGATTACTTTGTGCTCATCATTATTTCTACGAAATTCAGTTGAAGTAACTAAAATAATTTGTTTAGTAAAATAACGTCAGCAATTCTTAACACTATTTACAATATATTTTTTAATTAAAAATATTTATTATTATTTAGTGTTTTTTCCAGAATATTTCTATTAATTACACTTATTTTTGTTGAAGCATGATTTAATAAATGGCTTCGTCATTTACTTTGAGCAAAACTAAATTTTTTTAATTTTTTTGTTTGCTCTTTAAATTTACTTTGAAATTTAAGTATTTTATTTAAATAAATCAATTCATAGTTGAGTCACGTGATTCTCATATTTTGTGAATTTCGATGTAATTTTAAAACAATTTCGGGCTAACCTTGTTCCCCTTTGGGAAGACACGTCAATACTTATTGGCTTGTAATTGTGTAAATATTTGAGTATCAAACAAATGTATTTCGTCGAAAATGTGAACATTGAGTAAATTTAGTTATTTATATATTAAAATGTTTAAAAAAACTGAAATTTCAAACTATGTGTAATTTGGCGATATACATATATAGATATTGCATAAGTACTCGTATTATACTTAAAGTCATTCAACTTCAACTATAAAATGGTTATATATTACATCTATATATTAATTAAAAATGATATCTATTCTTATATTAGCCGCACTTTTTTCTTTCAGAGTTGTAAAAAAAACACTAAGTCTGGTTGAAACAAATTGGCTTCACTTTAAAAAAACTTCATAAATGCTTATTCTTGACATATTTTTTAGTTCTGCTGTATACAATATGAAATATAAAAACTGTAAGCACTAGAAATTATTTAATTTAAATAAAAGAAAACGAAATAAATATAAGAAAGGCATTGGTTTGCATTTAATGTTATTTATTTAAATTAATTTATTTAAAAAATTTTTTTGAATTTATTAGTAAATGAAATCCTCATATGATTTAAACAGATGACTGGAATTTTGCAACATATTTCCAGTGAACATTCACAATAGACTGACTTTTGATTTTGGCTGCACTAAGACTAAAGTCGTAAAAATTTTTGCGAGTAAAGCCTAACTCTAAAGATTTAGTGAGCATTAAGCCTTTTCTTTTGTAAACATGTCGCAGAAGAACAAATAAAAGAGGCACTACTTTCTATTGCAACTCTTGACGAAATGAAAATTTTGTTAGGCATATATATGCAAAACACGTAATAAAATTTAAAGTTAAATGTTCGAAAATGAATAATAATTCTTTACAATTATTGATAAAAATATTTTATTTATTACATGATTGTGAATAAAATTTTCATGCCTTTTAACGGTAAAATAATAAATAGAAAACGTGACGTATTTGTTACGAACAATGACGACACAAAATGCGAATAATTAACGAAATCATTCGTTGACAGTTAACTGGAAACTTCGTATGTACTTCCAAAAATCATTCACAATAGACAAATTTTTAGTCTTGGCAACCCTGTAATTTAAGCTGCTTATTAGTTAAACGATTTCAAAAAGGATGAACTAA